CACTTAAAGAGAGGCAGGTGAGCAGAGCAGCCTTTGGAATGGCTAATTTTAGTTGTTCTATTATCCTTGAAGGTCCCCTCTGGCTGGCTCGTTGAGTCTCTCTAAAGCTTTGTCCTACTCTGCAGGGGATACATCATCTCCAGACTATTCCAATGTATTGTATAATTCTTGGCAACGCTGAACTCTCTCTCTGGGAAAAAAATAGAAAAAAACCACTCCCCTTGCTGTAGGTCAAAAATCAATCCAGCTAACCAGGACCTATCTGCAATCCAAACCCAATGTGCTGACCAGACCTTGTAAATGGTTATTCTACAGTGACAAGAGAGCCACAAACCCTACTCTAACCTGAAGGGACCGCCCCACACTGCAACGAGAACCCCTTTGTGCGCTGATTTACAGGGAGATCACATTCTGACAACATGACTGCACAGCAGTCACCATTAACACCACGACAGTCCGTGGCTTACACAAATCAGCATAATCTGAGCCTCCACACTTGTGCAGGGGAAACAACAGATGGTTCCGCCATTGCGGTTCTCATTGTTTAACACTGCACCCTTCAGGTCCTGATCAATATAGGAGCTGAGGGATTCAACTGGTCTGGGAATGTCACAGCCTGACTCGTGGGGGGGAGGGAGGTGGTTGTGGGATGGGATGTTTGTAGATGAGTAATTAATAATGCAAATCAGATTGAGGCTGGCACAAGTGCAGCAAGGCTTGCATTAATCTGACTTTTTTTTAAAGTCTCTCCCTGTAAGACACGTAATTCCCTTTATCAGATGGGTGCAAATATGGCTAGGAACAGGCACAACAATAACAGCACAAAATACCTAGCAGTGATTGTGGGTCTTGATAGCTGATTGAAATAACACAACACATGCTTCCAAGGCCATCTGTGTGAAGAGTATGAATAGCACCAGGTGTCTAACGATTTCTAATGCTGGTGTCCCCTCCCAACCAGCCCCATGGTGACTTTTCACTTCAGAAGTGGTAAAATTGCAATCCAGATGTCCTATAGTTTATAATTCCTACCCCAAAGGGATTAAAGAGTCAGGTGTTTGGCTGTGTGCTTCTCCCTTACTCTGTGTAAACAAATTACTCTGTATGTGTTGCGTTGTGTGTGGACATCTGCACTCCTCCACTACACGTATTTTCATAATTTACTGTATTTTAAAAACATTTGGCAAGCGATTTGGGAAAAAAGGGAGAAAAAGGATCATCTTTGTAAAATTGGACAAATCAAGTGAATGACTCAGCAAGAGCATGTTGCCAAACTGTGACTCATCAGAAATGACCTGACAAATTCCCATGCGGAAGTCGTGAGATCATTCCTAACATGGGGAAATAAATCACTCGGCCCCAGTATTGTATGTGCCGCATTTGCCCTACTGCCTCACCTATCGTATCATAAAGACAGGGAGGTAAATAAACCACTTAAGCTAAAGTTTGCAAAATTGAATGCACCCCCTTTGGTGAACTTATTTTTCAAAGATTCTGAACCCCCACAAGTCCCACTTAAGTCAAGGCAGTTGATCAAATACAAGCTTAGGTGACTAAAGTTAGACACTCACGTTTGAAAAAGTTGGCCATTAACTGCAAACAGCTACTAAAATGCTCCTGCATCTTATAACCTGATTCTCTTTGTAACAGACAGCAAAAATGGTTAAGCCCAATCTACACTAGCCGAAAATATTTAACTCATTATGAGCCAACCATAGCTGTCAACTACTGTAAACAAGTCAGGTGCAATCAACACACGAAGCTGTAGTTGTGTTAGCAGGGGTTGCCCAAAAAGCCACTGAAGTTGCAGATTACTTCAGTAACTTGTTTCCTGTTCCTGGTGTTCACGTCATTTTTGGCCATGTTAATAAACCATTTTTAAAAAGAACTTTGTGAGCTGCGGCCCTGATTGTGAAGTTTAAAAAATTCAGTTAACACCCACTTATTTTGCATTTTCACATGCTCTTTTTCATTTCCACTTCCATCTCCAGCCGGGAGTAGAAGTGGAAATGTTGGACTGCTGTAAAGTTAACCTTTATGGTGTGCTCTGTTGGGACTCAGTAAGTACTAGAAGTCTCATGACAAAGTGTGTTCTTGTGCGACTCCATCCGCACAACATTCACATGCTATTTGGGGGCTTATCTGAACTGATTCCTATTTGCCCAACACTGACTATGGCTACGTCTAGACTGAAGGCTTCTTTCGGAAGAAGCTTTTTTGGAAGAGATCTTCTGAAAAAACTTCTTCCGAAAGAGAGCATCCACATTGCCAAGTGAATCTGCTTTTTCAAAAGATAGCATCCACACTGAATGGATACTATTTCACATTTAAACTGTGATTACTATGGACGGAGTGGCCACAAGGGCACCTGTGCTTTTTCCTCTTTCCTCTTCTTCCGAAAGAACTCCCTCGTCCCCGTCCATACACACCTTTTTACGAAAGAGCTCTTTTGCAAAAAGGCTTTTTCCTCTTAGAAAGAGGATTACCAATGTCAGAAAAACCCTTTGTTCTTTCGATTTTCTTTCAAAAGAATGCGATTGCAGTGTGGACGTAATTGAAGTTTTTTCGGAAAAATGGCCGTTTAAAAAAAAAAATCTGTAGTGTAGACATACCCTGTGCAGCTGGGTTTACAACATCCTTCTACCAGTTGGTTCTCAAGTGAGGACCAATCAACCAGGAACATTAGTATCACAGCATTGTACTTGGGCTCATCAGAGGCTGTGAAATGAGAATGCAAGCAATCACAATGCTGAACAAACTTCCTGTCTATGAGAGAGAGAAAAAGAAGCTGCTAGTGGCTCTCAGGTAAAGGATACTTCCCAAGCAGAAATACAGGTTAGTCTCCATATGTCTGTAACCTGTGAACTGTATTCTAGTTGCATTCACTGCATGACAGCTATACACGAAAAATTAAAGTTGTCTTGGTCAGAGAATTCTTCTGTAGTTTCTATTTAATAAGCAAAACACAATTCCAGCTGAGAATGATTTATTGTGCATGATCACACAGAAGGCCTTGGAATTGGGGGTCTTGTATTACTTCAATTACCTATCACAATTACATGTACATCCTGGGATAAGGAACAGAAACTGGCATTTGATTCCTCTTAGTCTGGAAGTGATATAGGGCAGCATATACCACCTGCTGTTAGACATGAGAGGTTAGTAGCGACTAAGGAGTGGCAAGGAAATCCCATCAAGTTTTTCCTGAGTCCAGAGGAATGGGTCTTGAGGAATTTAAAGAGCAAAATGGAAGGCTCCTGAAGCCTGAAAGGCATACAAAACCCCATCAGAAGAAAGATACAGTGGGGCTACCGGATCTCTTTTCTCAGGCCAAGTCTACACTATGGGGCAAAGTCAAACTAAGATAGGCAACTCCAGCTAAGTGAGTCAGATAGTAAACTGCAGTAATGCCTTAGACCACTACAAATTATGGAGTTAATAGTGCAAAATATTGGAGACGCAACCTCGATTTCCCTAGACACTAATTAGTTTGACTAACCATGGCGTCCCCACTGTGGGGGGCTGATGGGAGAAACTTTCCTGTCAACTTCCCTTACTTCTTGAGACCTGGTGAAGTACTGAAGTCAATGAGAGTGTGATCAGTGGTTGATTTAGACCCTTACTAGACCCACTAAATCAACCCCTGGGAGATTGATCCCCGTAGCATCAATCTCCTGGTAAGTGAAGACAAGGCCTTGGAGAACTTTTGCACAGGGGAGTTCAGCTTCCCCATCACCGGTTGAGTTTTGAAGCTGGTAAGTATATCAACAGTCTTTCAAACTGGACATTGAACGGTATTACTCAGAGTTTAAAGAGCCCTGCATCTCTGACTGGCTGTCCATACCTTATAGACTCCAAGTGAAAGTTGCTCAGAGACTGCTTTGGAATCAACAGCTCCAAAAATTAATTGGGAGCAAGTGGCTTACATTATACTTCCTCTGCATTTTCCCATTGCAACAGGAGCATAATCAGCTTCCAGATTTCCAAGCAAAGGAATTTTAATAGCTTCTTGTCTGGCACTGGTGCCCTAATGGGAATTTTTCCTACAGATCTTCTGATCTGAGAATCAGTTGCTGTCCTACAATACAGTCAGAGCCAATGGTTGAGTGGAGCGGCCGAACTGCTGCAGCACAGGGATGAGCTGCGAAAAAGAGGAAGTGTCAGATAGACATTAAGCTTCAGTAATGCTTTAGACAACTATAAAGTACGGCATCAATAATGCAAAGTATCGGAGATGCAACCTGGATTTCCTTAGACACTCTAATTAGCTGTGTTTTATTTCTTCTAAGCTTCTGTGTCACTTTTTTATTTCTCAACATTCTTCTTGCTTGACTAAACCAATTATAACATCTTCATTTTTAACTGATCCTTTGTGGCAAAGCCCCATACATTTTAATAGAGAATTAATGGAAAATGATAACCTTTCTGTGGGACTTTTAATACGACCAACAGAAGCCTGCTGAAGGGATTTCATTCTCTATTAAACAGTACATGTTGTAAAAGTAATTTCTATGAAAACGTATTGGTTTACCCTTACTAAATTCCACAAGACTTTTTCTGATGGGAGGGGAAGTTCTGGGAAGAAAACTGACAGAGTTTAAGCCCAGCCAGACCCTGATTTCCCTAAAAATAAGTTTTTTAAAAGTGTCAAGTAACACAATGACTGTAAGGCAGGCACTGTGTCTGATACATGTGCAGAAGTTGCTGCTTAGCCTGTTCTTGGCTCGAGAAAGAGCTTTAAATGCTGTCACCTGTAATCTCCCTATTAAATGTCAGGTTACCATCGGCTGCACTGCAGAACTCAATGGAACAGTTTTGGCTTGCAGGCTACTTGTGACCTAAAAAGTTAGCACCAAAACAAAACAAAATCAAAACAAAAAAGATAGGAAAAAAGGAAATCTTACTGAAGCTCTGTCTTCCTCCTCCCATGAGGAAGAAGGGCTCTTCTGAAAGAGGAGGCTTTTCCTAAATTTGGTCCAGTGTAGACAGGCCAAATTTCGGAAAAGCCTGTTCCAAAAAACTCCACAATTTGCGTACCTTTTTCCAACCGTTCATTCTAGTTTGTGCATGGGGTGCATGCTGAGAAAACAGTAAATTAAGGATCACTGGGGTTCATGTTTGACATGATTCAGAAAGAATGAAATGTTTGCGATTAGATTGTTGTGGTTACCCCCATAAATGTCTTCTGAATTTAAAATCTGACCATCCCAGAGTAGTGAGGAGAGACAGTGGTACTGATTAGTGTAGCTTTGTGGCTTGCTATGGAGTTGGCAACCTTTGAAAAGAAGCATATTTTACATAACAGCTTCTTTGCTGGCAAAAATCAAAAGATAGTTTCAAGTGCAAGCTTCTAGTTCATTCTTTCCCCAAGAAAGGAGCTTAGCTGCACCATGCAGAACAGATATTTAATTCAAAATCATATTGCCAGTTACTTTTCATCACTTGTTACCCAAACCTACCAAAGAACAGAACATAATGCAGTTGCTAAAGGAGATTACATTGGAGCCAATACTGAGTGAATCTGTAAGAACTTCTGTACCAGATTCTAAAAGTTAAAATAAAAAGTTACGGCCACATAACACACAATTTTAGAGTCACTACAGCCTACAGCACTGGATCTAAAGTTTAAATCAGCAATGTTTATGGGAAAGTATTTTTCAGGGAGGTGCCATTTATAAGGACTTTATTAATATTTATTACTTTATACAGCATTATAGTAGACTTGAAAAGAATCTTCATTCACGTATTAAACATGCACCTGCATTACTTTTAACACTCTCCATATCTCATTAAATGCTTATAAACAGTTTTGCATAATATCTGTTAAACATAAAATCTGGAACATTCTTCTTAAGATATTAAAGGACGTAGCTGTATATTGTAAATAGTTGGTATAAATATTAATAAAGCTTTTCAAAATGGCATATTTATGTGGAGCATTTTATTCTCTCTTGATATTTCCTTCCTCCCTCCCTTTAATGGCTCACCTACAATAAGCTATTGAAGGAATAAGACCTTGATTAGTTATAGTGGTTTATGCTGCAATTTAGGCCTTAAATCTCTGGCAAAGCTCTCTTTGGGAGGGATCATTACATCTGACTAAAAACAGCTGAATGGGAATCTCTGTTACCTAATATTTAGAGACAGATTCTGAGACCCTTACTCAGACTGAATGTTGCCTTACCCCAAAAGTAGGACCATTAATTTTAACTGAGCTTCACACAGAGTGAGACCCTTGGGCCTTACTGAATTTGGGCCTTACAGGCATTGGGGACTAACTCCCTTAAGGCCTGATCCAAAGCCCATTGAAATCAATGAAAAGACACCCCCTTGATGTTCATGGATCCAAAGACCACGCCTCTAGTCTTACCTGCATAATTTAGTTTAAGGTGATTTTGAGGTCTTTGTCCAGAGGATACTTTATTTCTGCTTTATTACATACTTAAGGTAAAATCCTGGCAACAACTGAAGAGATTCCCACTGACTTCAAAGGGGGCAAGATTTTCCTGTTTTGTTTTGACAGATATTACAGGCAATACATAGTAAAAATGCTAAAACAAGTTTAAAATGAATGAATGAAGGACAGAATATACATGGCTAGACCTGCTGATGGGAATGGGGTGCAATGGCCCTGGGGCTTGGCACTCTAGCTGCCACCACTATGGCAGCAGCGGCCATTTATATCACCATGGAAACAATCCTGCAGCATGGTCTGGGCAGCTGGAAGACATGGAACCCCCAGCGATACAGATGCTGCTCAAGGCTCTCCCCATCTTGTCCAAGGGCCTGGCGAGGCAATTCAGCCCACTGTCTACAGCAGCAAATTTGAAAGTCCCTGCTTTTGAATAACAGCTCTTACGCCTTTGTTGTTCACTACAAATAGGGCTGGGTGAAAAAATACAACCCCTCCTTTTCACTTTAAAAAATTGAAACTTGACAAAATTAATCCAGCTTTATTGTTTCCCCAAGAGGGGGAGAAATTCAGAACATGTTCATTTTACAAATTCTGATTTTTAATCTTCAAATTTAACAAATTTTCCCCCAGCTCTATTGCCATGATGGCAACTTCCAATGTGATGCTTTAATTAATCTAAAGTAACCTTAATTAATCTAAGTGGTTTTATGGGTATAGCTTATATCAGTTCTGCAAGTGAAATAAGCTATAGTGACAAAAGCACCGGTACAACCACATCTACATGGAGGCATTTGCTGGCATAGCTATGTTAAAATTTACACCCTTGACATCAATATGCAGACAAAAGACTGTAGTGTGGACTAAGCACCCAAGTAAAAATAGAATTTAGGCTAGTACTTCACTTGATTGGTTTGGAAAATGTACCCTATAACATTAAAAGGCGGTTTCATATTGCAATGCAGTTTTCCTTTAAAAGTTAAAACAAAAAGAGGTTCAAGATATGAGCCCCATTCTCAAAATGGTACTGTGTGGGCAAACTCTTCACGTTCCACTGATTCCAAGGAGCACCATATGGATGCAGATCTGATTTTAGGACTGGGATCACGGTATGGAAACCGCAGACATCAACAAACAACCATCATATGGGGCCAACGAGCTAAGCTTCCTCTCCTTTCCCTCCTTGTACTAGGACCCAAAATGGGCATGTGTCCTGGGCACTCAATAAATATGGGTTCCTCTCTCTACAATGTGCACTGGTAAGCGAAGATACCAATCAGCAAGTCACACAAAACAAGTGGTATTTATCATAAGCTGCATCTTGCCTTCCAGGAAGGAAATGCCGGCTGCACAGTTACTGACTGACATAGGCAATGAACATATGAAATTAACATGACATTCCTGATTGATATTATAGGCATTCTATAGGGGGTAGAGAAGATTTAATCTAAACACCACAGATACCAGTGATTATTTTTACACGACCTGTATCTAGCAGTAAAAAAGCCAATGGGTTTCTTTGCTGGCCATTGAATCCATTTGAGCAAGAAGAGGTATATATTTAAGAGCAGTTGCCAAAGCCTCCAATTGCATGAGTCCCATTCACTTTAATGAGACTTTTAGGCAGGGTCATTGAAAAGACCTGTTTACAAGAGATTAATACACAGAACTATCTTATTTTGTAAAGTACGGTAACTCATCATGGAAACAAATTACTTTCAGACAAGTTGCCTTAAAAAGCAAATGGGTTTGTTTTAGTGTTTTAAATCTTTCAATTTTTTTTAATGGAATGTAATGTTGGTGAATATGCCAGTGACTAGGATTGGTGGGGGGAACCCAAAGAAACAAAATTCCCACCTCCTTACGTGAGGGAGGGGCTTCAGAACCCAGAAATCATCTGCGAAAAGAGGACAAAACTGAACAAACATGCCTGACTGACAGTGATGGAGGATGAAACCCTCTGTTCACCCACAGAACAGTTAAACATAGAAAATAGCAGCACACATTATAACATTCTGCTCACAGTGGGAGGTGTCTTTCACCTCTGAGTTGAGAAGTTGGTTCACTCTCTCTTGCTCATGCAAATTCTTTGGTTTTTCTTTGTTAATGTCAACACAAAGGCCAAGGCCTGTAATAGTGAATATTGCAATACAGACTCTCGTTCACTGGGATATGGATGAAGACCAACCAAATAATTTCATTCAGGATACCAAACAGAAATCAGCTGGTAAAAAATTTTAGCTGCTAGCATGTGAGGTGGATTTAAATCAGCAACATCTTGGTGAAACCACCTCGTCTTTATCCCATTATAAATCCCCCTCCTCTCGCCATTTTATCTTCTTAATTTGATTACTTTTCAAATCAGAAAATACTATAGGGCAGGTTTAGTTGTAGCCAGTAATTTTTCTGGCAATCTAATCAGTCCTGTTCAAAGAAGGTCTGATCTTGTGGTATCCAATTTACAGACAATCACACAGGGTAGCTCACTAAAGTAACCCAGAACAGTCAGGAAGCAACGACTTTTAGAAGCCAAACAGTGAAAAGAGAGATTTACCAAAATAACTTTTGTACTTGGCTTTTTCTTTTTAAAGTTGGAAATGCTGGAAATCTGCTTTTTCATCTTTAACTCTTTTAAAATCTTTTTTCAACGATTTCTAGCCTTTTTTTTTTTTGGATGAAGCAAAGGCAAGCAAACTGCAACAAAGCTAAGATATGCTATCTCCCATCTCTGTCACATACAGAGGTAAAGAAAATCCTTAGCTCGGTTTTACTTTGCTAAAGAAACACACATGGAGATGTGGAGGTGTTATCTCTCCCACACACAGGGTTGTGATGGCATAACACATAGTATGTATCATATCTTTTATGTATAATATATTGTACACATATGCACACAAAATGGCAAGAGGAAGGGCATGTCCTTAAGAATACAGGAAGTTTAATTAATGTAAATCAAATTAAAAAGCGAACAAAAACTCAATCCAGCTGGCTGGCAGAGTAGGTGACAAAACAAAGGAGGGCAGGAAAAGGTTCACATGTTTAAAGGTTAGACGGTGTGCCTGTGTGCTTTGTCCTGTAAACTGGTTTCAAATATCCATGGAACATCTAGCAGCTAGCTCAGCACAGCTCTGCTAGAAATTAAAAACAGAGCTTTCTCTCATAATATATCAAACGATTCTATTTACATGTTACTTTTGCAACAATAAAAAGTAAAACACTCAGCAATTCAAGCACTCATGTTCTTAAAAAATAATTAAAAAAGAAAATAAATCCAGTCCCTCATTCCCATCTCTGTGATAATGGGATGGTTAGAAAAATAAATTCCTCCTGCCAAGGCACCAGCTTCTCTCATGATTTTCTATTATAAAATGTTGTAGCACTTGACATAACATCAGGAAAGTCTGACTTTTCTTTTTTGAATATCATCTGAGCTGCACTAAGGACTATGCCAGACGCTTTGTCGAGAATGTGACAAGACTGGAGTGACATTATCCCAAATTAAATACTCAGCAGAGGAGGCTTCAACATTTTCAAATAGTGGAAGGGAAGAATAAAAATAATTGAAAAGACAAATTGTTTGTTTTCCTTAAACTTTGCATTGGTTAAATGAACAAATAGAATTACAAAATATTTACTTTGTATAATCAGTATACTGCATGGACATGGCATCACCAGACTGCAAAGCAAGGCTGCAAGCAAAGACGCCATCTATAAAAGCAACTGCAGCGAATGGCGAATGTAACCCAAAATGGACGTAAGAATGGGCCGGGAATTCAATGAACATGGGTTCCTCTCTTTACAATGTAGATTAGTAAGTAATAGTACGAATCAGCCAGTCACGCAAAACAAGTGGTATTTATCATAAGCTGCATCTTGCCTTCCAGGAAGGAAATGCCGACTGCACAGATCACAGATGTTTACCCAGCATAAATCTAAATCTAAAAAAAAAAAGTTATGAGAGGTTTGGTCCAAAATATTCTCTTCTCCATTGTGCTGATGCTCATCAGATCGCTGCAAATTCACAGCTGAGACGGGGCTCGCCCCACAGAGATCATTCAACTCCTTTCATCTTTGCTTTCGCCATCAGAAAAAAAGGGCGTTTAAAAATAATAGTAAGTAAGTTGGGCTATCGTCAGTACCGGGGAATGGGAATAATAGATGTTTGTCAAGGTTGGACTGAGGATGGCTCAGGGCTGTGCAAACTGCTGCTGCAGAAATGGTTAGTGGTTGACGTATGTAAACTGTACCTTAACCTCTCCCCTCCACACAGCTATGTGGAGGAGAGATTGCTTTCCTGTTAGCAAAGAAGAGTTTTGTTTTGGCTGATTCGACAAGGAGGGGAGAATTTGTGAGGAAGGAATGGCAAAAGTCTCTTCGCTCCCATATAAACCCCTTCCTACAATGAGAAATGGTGGCTTAGGGTCCAATCCGCCCATCCTGAATTGTGCTAATTGCACTCACTGAAGCAGTTCCACTAAAGTCAAGGTTGATATCTGGGGGCTACTCATCTGCATCAAGGGTTTGCAGAATAGGCCCTTGAAATGGGTATTAATGCTCCTTTTGAGCTCCTGCACTTTCCTGTTCCTTTCACTGATACAATGGCTCAACAAAAAGGAACAAAAGTTGAGAACATGGGAGCAGTGGCTATAGGAATCACATGCCTTTACTAGAAGTTGGAAGAGTTGAATGACCTCTTTGGAGCCTCTGACCACCCCTTCTGCAGTATACAATAGATCACCGAAGGAGACATACACATGCTCATTCATATAAACATTAATTTCAATAGGAACTGGAAAGTCCTTCACCCTGCATTTCAGTGGCAAAGAGCAAATGATCTGCAACACTCTAATCAGCAGTTGTCATGGATACCATGTAAAGATCAGCAGTGTTGCTTTATGTTATAGGAACTCCACGTAGTTTTCAGGGATTAGTCCCGTCTTCCCATTCAGAGTTCCTTCCAACCAGCCAGGCTCCTGAGATGCATGAACTGAGGAGAGAACAGAGGGTATTAATATCAATCTTACAAGGCACATTTTCTAGTGGAAAAGAAATAACGTTTTTACCCACAACCAATCTCCTGCAGTTATGGCAAGTTTTGGATTTTCCTGCAAAGAGAAAGCAACTTCTCCTTATTGTGGTTTGGAGCTCTCTGAGACAGTGGTGGCAATGAGCTATTTCCTGCTCTTGCACAAGAGACTGGCTTTGGAATCACTTCTCTCTTCGCCACAGAGGCAAAATGCAAATTTCCGCTGTAACTGCCAGGACCTGGGGCCACTGACTTTGGATGCACCTACCCCAGGGATTCACTTCAATACTGTTTCCAAAATCCCTTATTCATTTTCCTCTAGCTCCAGAGCCTGGAGTCAAAAGCATCTGCTTAGCGTCCTCTACTCTCCCCCTGCAGCTGTTTGATCTAAAACCCTCTCTCCATTTCCCCTGCTCTCCTGACCCTGGGGCTGCTTCTCCTTTCTCCATCCCTCCAGACTCCCGAAGTTAAACTGCTGAACACCAAAACCTCAGGTCTGAAAATCCCACTCTTCCCACTTTCCCCCTTCTAGATCCTTAAAAAGCATCTGCTTAGCGTCCTCTACTCTCCCCCTGCAGCTGTTTGATCTAAAACCCTCTCTCCATTTCCCCTGCTCTCCTGACCCTGGGGCTGCTTCTCCTTTCTCCATCCCTCCAGACTCCCGAAGTTAAACTGCTGAACACCAAAACCTCAGGTCTGAAAATCCCACTCTTCCCACTTTCCCCCTTCTAGATCCTTAGAGCTACACGTGTCCCTCCCCCCCCCCCCCCGCCCCCCTCTCCCGGCCCCGCATCCTCAGGACCCGCGAG